ATAGAGTCAGGCTGTCACACATTGTTGGGACAATCAATAAAAGCCAATTAGAGTTTCAGGTTTTGTACTTGAACATAGATAAATCTCGTATCAGGCTGATAAACACTTAGTAAAAAGGTTTTGATCCTGAAGAGGCAGTGGGTAATCTTTACATGAAGAAAGAAGTTATCCTGTTTAGATTAGTCTGATGAAGAATTATTATTATTGAAGAAATCCACATGGACACTGAACTGTATTTCATGTATTTCCTTTTCTGTGCTTTGAATATTCTGAATTTTCTCACTTGAGAAACAACTTCTGGAAAACAAGACCTTAAATTTTCAAGTATTTAAAGTCATGAATGGTAGGCATAATTTCAGTCATAAAGATTCCTTCTCTTCAGATTCACCAGGAAAGATCTTTGTTAAAGTCAAACTAAACAATTCCCCCAATACATTTTATAGTAGATCAGAAGTGACTAAATCTTGTAGTAAGATGAAATGTTCTGAGAATGAACAGCAATGTTAGCCTTGCGTAAACAGTGTGTCATGGGTTTTTTTAATTTTTATAAGTAGTAGTTCCAAGACTTTCATCATACAAGTGTTGCCATTTGACAGTAACTTCCACGGATTGTTCACCTCCTTTGGTTACAGCATTTCAGGTGGACACCCAAATCTATCAATTGCCATGTTAGAATAAAAGTAAGTAACTCCCACAGGGGAGGCTTTCCCTGTAATTTTTTATTCTCTAGTCATCTTTACTATTTGCTGTTCAAGCCTTTAAGTAATACTAATATTTTCTATAGTAAAAAAACTCTCAGTTCCAGTCATCCTTTCTGAGCCTGCATTATTACTCATTGCTTGTGTTCAAGGGTGCAGAGGTGTTGCGGCTGGCATTTTGCATCATTCACCTTAAAATTAGAAGTAATAACCAAAGAAATGTGTGTGTTAATGTCTGCTGGCAAGATTTTGCTATAGGGTCTGTACCTCTTGAAATTCAAGCTTCTGAGGAAAGTTTTGAAAAGTTTAATGAAAAAGGATCAAATATAGTGCTCAATACACTGAGAGTGCATGGTTAAAAAACCCATGCTCTTTAACAGTGTTTAGATTGCCGTAATTGCTCATCTGAATCCCAGATCACTCACAGAAGGAGAGCAGGTTTCCTCTCTAGACTAAACCACATTGGTATTGCTAAGTGACAAATCTCTCTCATGCCCTAAGTATTGAGGGCAGAGGGTTCTCCTCCTGTTAATTTTGATTAGATTTAATAGGATCATGTTATCTCAGGTGGACAACACCAAGGTCTGTGAGTTCCCATTTATTATAACTACAAAACACAGACAGATTAATGCGAGCTGAAAAACAGTTAGGAAGCCTAACACTGAGAACTGCAGGCAAATAAATAGATCACAGGGCACTGTAGAAAGAAATATATCTTTGCTGCAGAAAAAAGCATATCTATACAACAAAAACATTTTTCCTTTTCGATGCTTATAAATGATACTGTAACTTAAGTTTCTAATAACAAAAGATTCCAATTAAAACTTCTTAACAGTCTTCCCATATCTGAGCTTGAAGGTCTGTGCTTTTGTTACCGTGGAGCTTTCATGTAAAGCACAGAGCCACTGACCTTTCACTCTGTCAGCAGCAAAATTAATTGGGTGAGTTAACTTTCTCCAGTTTTGTAAGCACTTCTTAGGAGTCACGTGTGAGCCATTTCATTTTGGCTCTCCCTCCTGCTAGTAGCTTTGCCTCTTCTGGAGTCCACTGTAAATTATTTGGGTTTTTTTTTCTCCCCTCTGCTTCCTTTCTGCCTCTCATAAAATAGTCTGGAAAATGTGGTCTTATGAAAAATACTATAAATGCTTTATGGCTTTGTAATGAAGTCTTGCCATGCTTTTTGCTTGTTACCATTCTCTTTGTGGTTTCCTCATTAAAAAAAAAACAAAAAAAACCAAAGAAACAACCTCCTGCATCTTTCTCTAATGATGTAAGGATATTTAGGGCACAATGGTCCAGTAGTCTGTATATCTGTCTGTATTTTCTAAAAGTACATTAAATGGATGTCCCTGGCAAAAGGAACTACTTTATGTTAAAGGGGATAGTACCATAATACAATGTTATAGTTTCACTGAAGGCATTAAGACTGCAAGGCATAAGCATAAACCTCCTTTGTGCAGCTGGCCCAGACCTCTCAAAACTGCAAGAGGCTGGTCATTGCCAGAGCTGCAATGAAGCATCCTCTGAGTATAAAGAATTGCAAGCAAAATAACGAATAAGCATGTTTTCTCCATCAGTTTTGGGGATCCTCTGTAGCAATGAAGCCAAACTATGACCTGTTGTTCGTATCATACTGTGTCTCCTGGTTTGCAACTGATGGCATTTAGAATATAGAAGTTTTTTGAAACACACTCCTATCATCACTTTGCACCTCAGCCAGTTACTGTGTTTCCTACAGGTTGTTCCAAATGTGAAGCATATGTGAAATGTTCCATGAGACACAGTTGCTTTGTTACGATGTCACTCGCTCGTTGATAAAGATTGAGCACTGCTGCATTATTAGACAGAATAAAAAGACCGATAGTTGGCATCATGCTCTTTTGTCTCTGTTCAGTTATATTTAAACTGGGAACAGCAACAGATTTCTCTATTGTGCGAAAGACTATGCCTAAGATTCCTGTCACAAGAGGACTATGCACTAGTAAGAATGAATAATTACATTCATAGGAATGTCAGTAATTTGTAAAGTAATATGGAAGAAGATGG